ATAAGCTTTCTGACTTTGTAAAATGGTACCAAACAGTGATCAAGCCTCCAAATATTCAATCTCTGAAAATTATTCAACGGATGCCATTCTTTACCAAGCAGCTGCGCAAAAGTGAGCACTTTGGGAAATGGAAAATCAAAACGGCAGTTAAAGGAGAAAAGGATAATCTGCTGCAGCTTTCTTGATCTCACAGAAGTTTTCAGTATAGCCGAACTGAACGTAGTAATCAGGATGGATATGAAACCTCGGCCTTGAATGATTGGGAAAGGAACCACGTCGAGAACGTAGAAAAAGCAAGAAAGAGGTAGAAAAGCTACTCGAATATTGGTTGATTGGTTCGTCTACCTACTCCGCATGATTTTATAGCAGGTTGAAAGAAGGACATGAAATTTCACGATCTTATATTTTGCTACTCTTAGCAATAAAAATTAAAGACGAAAAAAAAGAGAGCACTGGAAAGAAAGAGGAACATTCTGATGACCTAGAATGACACCGTAATTCTCGATTTTCTTGGTTAGTAGTCAGTTAACGTCATGGTCATACTGTAACGGAGACAAGAAATACATCAAACCGCTACAGATATCGAAAATATCGCAGTAAAGAGCAAAAGTCAGAGAATTTTGCATTCGCTAAGCACGTTTACTCCCATAAACGACAGTGTGTAGCGTTTGTTTAATGCTTATTCTGTTTTCGGCGATGACACACGGTGGCGTCGATTTCGGCGTCGTTGATGGCTGGGACGCAGCCAGCCGAAACCGGTCGACCAAGCGACAAAAAGCGATGAGACAGGTAACAAAGCAGCATTTATTGACTTATTCCTTTAATGCACTGCCAAGAAGCCATCTAAGCAGACGAAATTGATCGCAGTCATTACTGCGATTACGGGTACTGAGCCGGTAAATGAGCAGTTATGGTACGGTAAGCACCAATCAAGACAAAAAAAAATTCTGCGAAAATTACAGAAAATTCCAGCATGAAATAACTGCTATTTTCGAGCTGGGGCAATCATTCCTAACCTTTGCTAAAAGTAAGGAGGTTTCAGTATAGCAAATTCAATCAAAAAATTGAAATTGCCGCTTTTAGGCAATGGACAAGAAAACACCAGATTTTAAAAAAGTGCTGACTACGAAGTTCTCAAATTTACTCCAAATATACTAGGGATGTTGCTAAAACTACTTCAAGTAAGAGTTATAGAAAATTACTCTCAAAAGATCAAAGAAAGCCAATGCACTCCGGAAGCGAGAACTGGTCCCCATCACTCCCAGTTAAAGAGGAAGTA